TATGTATGTATATATATATGTATGTATGTATATATATGTATGTATATATATATATATGTATGTATATATATGTATGTATATATATATATATGTGTATGTATATATATGTATGTATATATCTATATATATATATATATGTGTGTATATTATATTTGTAATCAAAAAGACATAAGGATAAGCACTTATTCGTTACATTTTTATGAGTCGCGGGTTCCTTTCGAAGAGAGCAGAAACCGTAATAAGGAGGAAGAAGGAAGAAGGAGAAACAAGAAGAAGAAGAGGAAGGAAAGGGCAACGGGCGGCTCAACTGCGACATGGGAAGTGGAAGAAGGAATCAAGAAACCATCGCGTGAGGGAGAACCTACCGAGAGGGATTCTGGTGTGGTTGCTTAGGTGAGAAGTTGACACCATTGATGGTTGTGGGTTCGCTTGAGATTGATGAAGTTGGTGTCATGCATGAAGGAGAAGACACATCGACGACGAAGCATGCGGGACGAGTAGGTAACATCGCTTGCAGGAGGAAGGAGGTCGGGCAACTTGATGCATTGTGCTCGTGTGCAGAGGAGGTCGAAGAAGATCGCACGCTTGAGTCCAGCGTCGAGCTATGACTGAAGAAGGCTGAGTAGAAGAGGAAGTCGAGCCCTAATCTAGAAGCAAAGACGTCATGCCCCTGTACAGAGAAAGGAAAGGCCTTCTCGTGAGAGGAAGAAAACTCTCATGTGTTTTATTGGGTCCAGTTGAGACTGAAGGAGTAGGAAGAAGGACCTTTGACGGGGCGAGGGAGCCAAAACTCATGCGTCTATGCGTCCGTGAGATTAAGGCAGCCGATCGAAAGGTATAAGTTATAAAAGTAGATTTGTATTATCATTAAGTCAATTAATATAATGTTTTATATGTGTGTATGTGTGTATGAGTTAGGATTTACATATATTTAAATTTTTGAATCAAATATACATATGATGTATTAAAATATTAACAATATGTTTAACTATACATGAATTAAGCTGTAGAAGTTCAACTTGGATGGAGAAGATGTTGGTGAGGCGTGGAGTGAGGGAGATCGATCTTGGTAACTTATAAGAAAATTAAGGTGGAGCAAATTTTATATTATTGATAAAGGAGTTTTGAGACAGTGAAGGTTAGAGTTTAAGTTTCGAAAGAAATTTGTTTAAATTATTGTTATTTAGTATTGGTATTAGTATTGATTTAAGGATTTGAACTCATAATTACGATGAGAAAATTGAACTATAATTAGGTAATATGATATAAATTTATTAAATGCAATATTTTATAATATAGGTGCTAATTTGAAGGAGGAGACAGGAGTCGATAACAAGAAAATCAGTATGAATTAAGGTGAGTATTTATATTTCTAAATCCAGTAATTAGCTTTATTTCAAAATGTATGTTTGATTTATTGATGCTTCATTTATGCTTTATTTAAAGAAGATTTGGATATAGCAGTTCTTCATATTGGTAGATAAGAAAATATGCATTTTAAATAGATGCACAATGAATTTCCTATAAGTTTATTAGATCATGGAATGTCATTAAATTATAGTAGAGGTGCATTTATATTAGGTTATTGCATGATTTCTAGCTTCAAGTAGAAATCATATAACATACCACTACATGACTTTTAGAAAACAATCATATTCAACCAATTGCATAATGATTTATTTATGAAGTTATTAGACTAGCGCATGTCAGTTTGATGCTAGTAAACGTGCACTTATTCATTAGTAAGTATATGTAAAGTATTTCATTGGTAAGGAAAGAATGCATGATATGGAAAAATGAGATAACTTATATATAAATGTTTGAATTATTGTATGTGCATGTTCAAAGAAGAAGTTCACCCCCTAATTATACAGGCAAGGAACACCAGTGTACTCGCGCGCATAGTTATTTTTCTACTACCTTAGATAATTGTGATTTTAGATCACTAACCGTTGTAACAACGGGAGAATATTGATCATGAGTGAGTAGACAGAGCTCACCATTCCAGACAAGTGTAATGTATATATATATCGCTAACAGTTGTGTCAACGAGATAATATCAGTCAAATGCATGTAACAGCCTTTCTACCCTAGACAATTATGATATTTACATCTCTAACTACTGTGCAGACGGGACAATATTGGTAAAAAATGTGGTAGGTTATATTTTGACGATGCTCCTAAGCAAGATGTGAATTTTAATTGTATAAAGTAAAAATAAAGTTAAAATTATATTAAAAGTGAATATATATAGAAATTTAGAGTATTTTCATTTAGAAAAGGTCATTGATACATGCATTAGTATATTTAAAGAATTATTATAGAAATATAAAAGATTAGCATACTATACGACTTCTTATAGAGATATAAAAGACCAGCATGCATATCGAATTTTTTTCCCTTGAGTTACTGTAGTTTAGAAGTATGATTTTTTTCATGTTTAAACTTTTGATTAAGATGAATAGAATAGGAGATAATATGTATAGGAGGCGAGAACAAACGGGAAGGTACAAAAATTCTATTTATTAATTTTATGTGTTTTTTCTAGCGGCTCTTTCATGAATATTTGAATGTTAAACTATTAGTGATTGAAATAGAATATAATATAAATTAGTTTCACCGTCAGACATTAAGTTCTTATCTTGGTTAATTTCAAGCCCCGGACCGCGTCACGATAGGCTCGTTGGCTCGCTTGCAAGCCAACTCGATTAGCCTGCAGCTAGTCATTTCTATGTATTTTCGAGTGAGCTTCCACTGCATCTTCCTTCTTCGATCACCAATACCTTCTCCAATTGGCTTCCGTAAAAATTGAATTTTTAGTTTGAACTCATCAGTCGGCTGCTAACACTACGAGCTGAGCTCAAGCTCATCATTCAAGCTCGACTAAAGCTCGAGCTCACAATTTGACAGACAAGACAAGCTTGAACTTGTCATGGCTCGAGCTCGACTCGACTAGTTTACAACCCTAAACCTTCCTATATCGTTGATTGCTAGGTGGTAAAGCTGAAGCACGCTCATGAGAGCTAGCTCTACATGGCAGCTAAATGTCAATTAGTATGACATGCCCTCAATTCTCACTCACTCACTAGCGCTCGACTCTCGCTAAGACATGGCTACTTCCATTCAAAAGTATATACTATCTTCTCAAACGCTTTCTACAATCAAAGCAGTTTAACTCTAAACAAAAATACAAGTTAAAAGTGCATTTTTCTATGTAAATGTTAATTAGAGGCATACCTAAAGCCCATCGAGGAAAATAGCCTCAAAACATATACCTCAAATGAAAAAAACACAAGCCACTCTTTGGCCAAAAAAAATGTAAAACTCGACTGGGTGCCTTATGATGAGCCAAGCACCACAAATACTAAACTATTATTTTTACAATGCTCGACATTTTCCTTATGACAATTATTTGGTGTTGGATTTTTTAGATATTTTTTTCTCATTAAAATTTATCAAAATGCTTACGAAACTGAACTTGTACTTTATTGTTAAAATAGATAATCAAAATAATAATCATTTCACATCACATGACCATGATAATGATAAGTACCAAACAAAAACAAACCAAAATACAAAGACTCGTGTTTAGACTCAACATGGATTATTATAGGAGGTAAAGAAAATTGAAATATGAAAACAAGGGGAGATGTGGATTAGAAGATATCTCACCTCGGGAGTGGGAGCTCTCTTTCTCTGGCCATTCAACCAACATATCCACTCCACTACAATAGTAATAGTAATTTGACTAATTTTCAGGACATACCTTAAGTATTCAGTGCAAATAGAAGGAATAAAATAAAAAATAAAGTGCATAACAGCAAAGCAGTCTGTTGTTCAAGCTACTATATCCACAAGTAGCAGTAGCTTAATGGAAAATTAACGTTTTAACATATATAATTGGGTGTCTTAAATAAAATAATATAAATAAGCTAACCGGGTATGGAAGTAGGATCCTGTTCTCCTTTGAATAGCACCCATCTTTTCTCCTTCACTGTCTTAGCATGAATAATCACAGCTTCAGTTCATTGTGGACCACATAATGAGTACTTTACCCACAGTAACACTAGAATAAATAGCATTTCAAAAAAAAGTTACATCAGTCATTTCTATTCCTCTCTAAACACATAGACATGACGGTAATTCTGTAATATGACAGAGATAAGGATCAGTCTAAGTCTTCCCAAAAAATCTTCCAGTTTATGTATGCGTGATTTTTCTTCTTTTATTTCCAATTCAGTTTAAGATTTATGCATGCTTCCTAAGTTAACCAGGAATTAAGGACTTTGAAGTCTTATAGCCTAAGTTTAGTGATGATAAATATTGTAATCAAACCAACACTAAAGCAACAGGAACACCATTTATTAATAAGAATTAAACCAAAATTACAATAAACAATAACCCAGATAAAAAATAAAAATATTTTCAAATGATTTGAATTCCAATGTGTCAACTAGAGAATCATGAGGAATCATCATAAGGATTGGAGGATTACTGATTAAAAAGACTGATAATTGAGTTATTGGAAAAAAAATGTGGAGAATTTCAAAAATAACACTAAAGTTGGGGTAAAAATAAAGCAAGTCCCTCGCACAAAATATAATATAAATTCCATATTAGAATGTATTCATCTAAAATCTCCTTCAGCGCTGCTCGAAACTAATTTGATGAAACATAGACACCAGTAAAATACCATGTTTAGTAGAGAACGTAAAAAGGTATTCATGCAACCATTTTGTATAATCAAATGTCATCTGACCAAATTCAGACTCGAGAGCGGACTACCAAATTGCCCAACTCAACTGTCTTGCCAAGCTTACAAGTTGCCTAGTACGAGTGGCAAAAGCATCAGATATTGAATAAAAGCAAAGTAACAACTGCTGAGTATGAGTCACCATTCCGCTTGCATTGATCATCTTGCATTCCCCAAAGGGGACTAGATCCGCCTCAATGACTAAGGGATCAACTTAGTCAATGAGGGTAAATTTCTCCAATGTTGGATTGTCACAAAGAATGAGTTGACCGAAAAAGATGATTTTGATAAATCAGGTAAGACTACTTTAAAACTTAATTTTTTGGACCGCTCAAAATACATCCAGATTATATTTATAAAATTCTACATGTTTCGGTGATCAATTTGATATATATATATATTTTTTTTTTTTTTTTTTTTGGGAAAGCCCAAAGGCTAATATATTTAATAGAAATTAGAATACAGATAAATTATGTGGGAGTGTCCAAATATGACACCTTGCTCACACGATAACCACCACATCAAATGATTCAAAAAAGAAAAAACACAGAAAAATACATGAGAGACCTAAAGAAAAAAATCAAAAAGTGCTAAATATGGAGTATCAGGTAGCTAGAGAGCGACTCAATTTTATCTTGCCTTTGCCTCTAGTTCTAGAGAAGAAGCTAGATAATAAATTGGTAAGATGAGTGTCATTGTCAGTAGTAATCAATGTATCATCCAATAAATTCCCGAGCTTGAGTCGGCCTCCATTTTTCTTCTTCCTCCTGGAATATACCTGTCATTCCTTATCTATCCGAAGATTGACTCACCTAATACTCACCTAATCAGTGGATTGGTCTAAAGTATATCTGACATGTGTAGATTGTTGAACATTAGAAGCAATTACTTGTTGTATCAGCTGATCTTTTATCGGATCAAAGAAACACTCTCGTGTGTTTTGACATATAAGTGGGACTTCTTCAATAACAGTGAGTGGAATAAGCACATTTGAATCTGTACCTGTAATATAGTGTTCTTCATCTGGGACTGGGGTGTTGGAAAGAGGATCGGGTTACACCTTCTCAGTAGGGATGGTAGGTGGTTGATCTTTAGGGAAATTTGACCTTAGATAAGGATGCAAGCTATAACAAATTGTAGAACTGTGGTCAAACATACTACAATGAGAGCAATAAAGAGAGTGTGGTTCTATTTCAACCTTTTATCAATATCCATTGTGAATGGTGTCAATTGATACCTCATCCGGAGCTAGTTGAGTGATATCTCTCTCAACTAACACACAAGTCACAAAGGACTGGTGACATCAAGCGTTGGACTATCAACCTTAAGAGACTTACCGTAAGCAGTTGTTAAATAGTAGAAAATTTTCAAGTTGAACAGATGTAATTTTAACCCCGGAAATTTTATCCAAACAGGAATGATAGGAGACTCCACTTTTAGATCAAAATCGATAGTCCACTTAAGAATTTTCATAAAACAGTTGTCGATCTTGATAACTTTTCGAGAAAAAATGTAAATGTAATCGGCATCGTGAGATAACTAAATAAGTATATGTTGACTGTCAAGTAAGTTAATATTTCAACTGCCCAATAGCTTTATAGCATCAAACTCTTTCCTAATGATCTCTAATTTTGGGTGACCATAGATGAATTTTCCCACTAGAGCAAAATGCCAAGAGGACCCGAAAGTTCTGGTTTCAACCTCAGTAAAAATAAGAACAGGTTTCTTTTTTTTTTCCAAGCTTTTTAATGAAAGTGTGATCACCATCACCTTCAGGAGCGTCGAGTAGCGTCGTGGAAAGATTGAGGAACATTACAAGACTTGTCAATATGAAAATCAGGCTCTGAACCTGAAAGAGGAGCATGAGTAGAAATAAGACAGTCACCGACAAGTGCATTGGCATAGAAACACATCATTGAAGTGATCACCTGAACGGTCAAGCAGCTGCTGGAAAAAGGAGGGCAGAGGAAAATTCTGTCGGGCAGGGCGATAGGGACTCTTTAAGTACAGGAGACCTTTTGTCGGGCAGGGCGACACAGGCGATTATCGGGCGAGGGGGGCAGGGCGAATGCGTCGTCAACAAAGAAACCGTCTATCGGGCAGGAGGCGAGCAAACAGACGCATCTTCGATTATGGGCAAAGACGACGTCGTTGTCTACATGCGCTGCGAGACGAAACGTCTGTCGGGGGCGTGTCGTCGGCTAGGTCGTGCGAACAAAAGAGAAGACACCGTCGTCGCCTTCGATTGAGGCCAACAAAAATGACGTCATCATACTGGAAAGACAAAACTCGAGCTGACGAATTTGTGAAAACGTCGTGGTAGACGACGGAGATGTGAGTCCAATAGTTTCACCGCCGAGAATCGCACTAAGAGGGGGGACCTCCCGCCCTACTTATCCAGTATTATAAATATGTCCTTTTGCTTAGTTTAGGATTAGTTTTGTTGAGTTTTTTCATGACAGCTGCTGGCGTCCCCTTTTCTCTTACAGAGTTTTACCGACGGCCAGAAGGTGCTTCGGCTGTAACTTATCCCGAAGTAGTGTGTATCGTTCCCTTTTCTGCTTGTTGTCTTTGCTCTGGCATCCTCTCCTGTTACTTTTTCCCGCATCTACCTGCTCCTAGCTATCCCCCTACCGCCAGTGTTTTCCTGCACCCCTCTGCTCTCAGTAGCCTACGCCAACCCTTAATCCCTTCGTTGATGCTCTCCAAACACCCTCATGTTAGCCTCAAATCTTCTACTTGCATCTTTTTTGTACTCCCAACCTTCACCTGCCTTCTTGTAGAGCTGCAACCCTCTATCCTACCCAAAAGCTGGGCCACAAACCTCTTCTCCTATCTCATGTTGTGTCGTCGACCCCTCCACAGCCAGCTGTTGTCTGCCGTGAATCCCAACCAAGTGCCCCGTTGTTGCCGCCCCTTTCATATTCTTCTATATCTGCCACGCAGTCGCAGCCCACCCCGGCCGCCCTCGCACTAAGGTGTCATTTGTGTTGGTTTTGGGTTAATTTCAGTATCAATTGGTATCATAACTAGCATAACCCAAATCCTATCCTAGGTTTTCCTACCATCCGTCCCTACCCAAGCAAAAATAAAAACTTACGCAATGCATTGTGCTTTGTGCTTTGATAATACTGTTATTACCAGCTGTTAAGTGTGAGTTGTCAATTCTTCCTACAACATTAAACTACCCTTTTCTCCAAAGAGAACTAGGTCAGTCTCAATGACTAAAAAATTGACTTGATCAGGGAAGACAATTTGCTCCAGTGTCAAATTGCTCAGGGTCGTATTGTCATGAAGGCCGAATAGACCGACAAAAATGTGGCCATACAAGCATGTGAGAAGCAGACACCAAGACACGATGCAACTAAAAATAATATTAATTATGGTGTCAAAGTCTGAATAAGAAAAGTAAGGCATAACCAGATATCCTTCGAGATCTATGTGTAATGAGTATCAATTTTGTATTATATGTAGGGAACCTATATAAATAGGGAGAAATTCATGTAACAAGAAATCGACCCCTGAATATTATATCACAAATCATTTTCTCTTCTGAGATAAATTATATTTCCCCCTCTCTTCTTGCTCACTCTCCCTCTTTCTTAGCTCTTACATTCACTATTTGTTGATGTAAGGTGAAAGGAGGAGAAAAGTATTGGTCCTTACAACATGGTAGATATGAGAAATAAAGAACCAGCTAGTGTTTTCGTTTAAAAATATTTCATCAACATTGTTGGCGTGAGTAGCCTTGGCTAAAGAAGGATTCTTAAATGTGCCTAGGTATGCCCATGCTTGCAAGAATGCCAACTAGGGCGAGAGCTGAGTACTAATAGAGGAATCCGGGATGCAAGCATTAAAAGAACCTTTTTAGGGTTAAAATATACGTAATATATTCCTTAAATATAATCTATCTTTGGTCCAATTTCAAGTGTGCCAATACAACTGCTAAGAAAAACCTCCTTATAGGAAGCACAAAAACCTACTATTTGAATCCAACTTTTTACAAGGTCCAGGAATACAAAGCTTCTCCACTACCCCTTGTATCATTGTTAAAGCAAGAGCTGAATTGAAGAGAAATTAAAGCTCAAAATGAATTTACTCATAAACATTAAAGACAAGAATTTTTGCAAACTCTCCAAGAGATTTTCCATCAAAATTGACCAAGGAAGCAATTTCAAAACTTGCTCAAAACAACTGACAGTAATGTCAAGCATGCACCAGACTGCACCAACATATAATTTTTCCCTTCAACATAGCATCAGTCAACCCTGATAAGCTGCTCATCAAAGCTGACCCAAAGTTATCATTTACATGCTTCATAATAGTGTGGCTCTTCAAAAATCCGAAAAAGCAAAAGAAAAAAACTTGATTGATTTCAATTTTGATTAGCTCCCCAGTGTTATGTATCCGCAGATGTTTAACCTATAACGTGTCCTCAGATGTCTTCAACACTCATATTTATCTACATTTAAAGGAGATCAAAGAAACTTTCCGATACATTATAACCTCTAGCAGGCAGTCAAAAATCTTGTCTTATACCGATTAAAACGCAAGGATTCACGCATCAATAGAAAAGAAGAAAAACAGCATGAATGCAAAGAATTAGCAGTGTGAAATAAATCAACAAGTAAGAAAAATAAATTTGCGGGGGTGGTACAGAAGAAGGCACTCACTGATTCCATCGACCACCTCGTTTCTGGTGAAGTAGCGATTACCGGTTTTGTCGACGCCAACGAGAGTTCTAGAGCGGAAAAATCCCGACAATTTCGCGAATAATCTGGACATTCTCTCCTTCAATCTCTCTGAAACCCTATCATGGCCGCTCGACCAAATTCTAGCCTTAGTAATCGATCAAGTCGCCACGCGATCTTCGAATCCTGGGATATAGATGCAGACTCCGCCTGCTCCCCGGTAGAATTGTAGTGGTAGATTATAGTGGCAGTATTATGATATCAAAAATAAATAAGTCACCTTTTTTCTAGCTTCAAAGAAGTCTTAAAGAGTCTAATGTTGGGCGTCACGTGTCAATTGAGTCCCATCATAATATATTGGTATTACCCGGTGTTAAAAATTTTAAACTTATATTTGATCAAAAATGTAATATTTATACTCTTCTTTTTCAGGTCTTGGCCCCACATGATCGCTCTTAGAGTACTAGTACTAAAAGCCAGTGAAATTGCTCTACCTTCTTGCTCTTTCTCCTCGTATGCCTTACTCTCTTGCTCTTTCTCCTCTATCATGCTTTTGACATTACGGTCGTTCCTACAGTATGAGAAGCAAAGTTGAAGCTCATCAACCAGCTAGTTTATTCTCATTCTTTCTTAACAGAGTTTCTATTCAAGGAAAAATTTTTCCATACATTGTCTGCACAGAGAGCACCGTGCGTACAACGGCTGCGATTCTCCCATCGCAACAGAAAAAAAAAAAAAAGCCACCGCGATCATGTGTATCACAGTCATTGTTCGCACAGTGCTTCTTGCGGACAACGTATGGAAAAATTTCTCAAATTTTGGGTCTTGTTCTTATTTCTCTTTTTTTTTTTCCTATAATTGAGTTTGTTATCTTCTTTAATATTTTTTAATTTAATATTTTAATTTTTCATATTGATTATATTTAAACTCATGTGTAGAATTGAGTATGAATAATTAGAATACAATTCATAGCCCAATTTTTAAAAGTGGCATGCACAAACAAATATTTAATAATAGGGGCTTGGTTATTAAAAAAATACAAAAAAAGAAAAAAATAACTTTGAATTGTCGTTTTATTTTATTTTTTATTTTTACAATGAAATAACCAATTCAAGAGTATTTTCTAAAGTAATTTTTATAATTTTTTTAATATGATAATTTTAAATTTTAATAAATTTAAGCTTTGAGTAATTTTAAAAATTAAATAAATTTATAATTTTTTTGAATATAAAAATTTAAAATTTGATTTAATAAATTTTCTATTTTAAATGATTAACACGACTTCCTAGCTTATAAATTTTAATTGAATTCCAATATAGCACTACTAAAATTGTATGAGGTAATAATGTATTATTGCATGAATAATAAATAGCGTTAAATTACTTGCAGACCACCCGAAACATTGATATTTACAAATTAACCACCCAGGTGATTAGGGGTGTAAATGAACCAAACATGAACGAACAGAGCTTGTGTTCATGTTCGGTTCGTTTGGAATTTAGTTTGTTTGAAATAAGCTCGTGTTCGAAATTGTTCGTGTTCGTTTCTTAATGAACAAGTCGAACACGAGTTGTTCGAAAACGACGAGCCAGTTTGACATCCCTAATGATAATATATATAAATAATATATTATATTAATTATATAACTTATATTATATAAATATATAATATCTATATTAGTATATTACTAATATAGTATATTAATATACTATTATTATTATTTTACTATATATTATAATTTATAAAATTTAATTTTTTAAAATATCAAAAAATTTTATATATTTTAAATTATTTTATATTTCGAGCAATAAAGATTCGAACACGAACGAACACATCACTATTCATGTTTGGTTCGTTTAACTAAACGAACGAAAAAAATTTGTTCACGTTCGTCTCATTTACTTATCAAACGAATCGAACACGAACTGTTCGCGAACAGCGAACTTTTTTGACAGCCTTACTGGTGATTTTTTTGAACCACCAAACTAATGTATTTACGTGTGCCATGATCAAACTATGGAGGATTTGATAAAAATGAAAAATAATGATATTTGATATTTGAGTGAGAATTTGAAAATTGGATGAAAAAGGGTGGTTGATTTGTAAATAGCAAGTTTCTGGTGGTCTGCATTTAATTATCCCTAATTTCTTTCATCTTAATGCATATCTTTTTTTTTTAATTCAATTAAATCTAATTAAAATAAATAGAAATTCATTTTATTCAAATTTTGAATAAATAATTTAAATCAACTAAAAAATTAATTTTATTTAATGTTTATTTCATTTCATCTAAAACTACTAATAATCACTCAGTATAAATTTACTTGTTAAAATACTATTCAAAACATAATGCAGAGTCAACATTAACGAGTTTAGTTTAGTTGAACATAGCATACCAAATATAGCAATTTACTCGTCTCAATTTCGCACTTCGTTAGCAAGTGCACGGTCGGCGATTTCCGATGGCGAGTTTGTTGTATCGAAGGAAGTGAGGCGAAGGTCAATGGTGAGGTAAGAATTTAGAGGCCATACAAGATCATACAAGATCGGATTTCACGAGGAATTGTTGACCACACTTTGCATGGCTTTAGCAAGGTTAGTAGCAAGGTGAGATTTTGAATGCTTGATGCATAAATAATCCATACAAGATCGGATTTCCCGAGGAATTGTTGACCAAACTTTGCATGGCTTTAGCAAGGTTAGTAACAAGGTGAGATTTTGAATGCTTGATGCATAAATAATGAAGTTTGGGTGTGAAGATATGTAACTTGCTATGTTTTGTGTGCTATGTACTTAATTCCTCCAAATTTGTTCGTGTTTTTCTTATGCCCCTTATAACTTCATTTCCACTTATACATCTGCTTGTTCACATATGTTCAGGGGAATCAAACAGACACATGAATAATTACATAGGCACAAAATCTCTTATAATTCCACTTAATTGCAAATAACAACATACAAATGCCTGCAACTCCCTATTTTTTTATCATTTTTTGCACATATTTATGATAGAAAAGTATATAACTGTTAACAATTTTGACATATCAAATTTCACAATATGCTGTAGAAAGTGGTATATACCAGCAAACATAATTAATAATGCAATTTAAATCTACGCATATCGACAAACAAAATTTACAAAATTACTTTTATGAAATGACCAGAGTAATATTTAAACTATTTTCCTTCAGTTATAACACGTCAAAATATATAAAATATTATACAACAGAAAGTATACCTCGAAAAATAAATATTTTAATGTTGATATGTCTGACACAATCTAATTTAACAACATATAAAAAGTTGTGTGGTGAAAAGTTTGTAAATTTCCGTGCATCTGAGTTTGCAGGAAATTTCGGCAAATAAAATACCAAAAAAATTACGAAAAAAACAACCAAATTGGAATATGAACTTGTTAACACGCTGAAAAGTCTGTAAATTTCCGTACATCTAAGTTTGGACGAAATTTCGGCAAATAAAATACCAAAAAATTTACGAAAAAACAACCAAATTGGAATATGAACTTGTTAACAAGTGTCTACTTAGAGACAGACAATTTCCCCAACTAACTTGATGGATGAAATGGGCTCTATGGCCCCTAAATCTCCCTTTGTCTCTCTTAATTTTTTTTTTTCTCTCCCTTTCTCTCTCTACATTTTCTCCTCTTAGAAAATTAAAAGCCATGCAATGAATGAATGCTCAATAGAATGAGTTGAGTTGTTTGGATATTTATGCATCGTAGTTATTTTTTTATATATTTTAAATAAAAGGATATAAATGTAATTATTAAATTTATATTTTTAATAACTAGAAAATTTAAGTAAATCTCTTTAATAATAAATAAATAGAAAAATATGTCAGGTGAAAACGGTTTGCAAAGCTAACACTAGATGGTTCCAGAAAGTCCACTCGTATAATGATGTACTAAATCCTTAAGAAAGAAAAAATCCAACAATAACTTTTTATTTTCTTACTTATGATACCCATAAAAAAAGGTAAAAATGTGCTCAAAATATAATCAAACGTACTGTACAATTCGGTGAAAATATTTCATAAATTGGGCATGAAACAAAATCACTAAAAATCGAGCAATAAATTGAGCATCAAATTAATTGCAAAAACTTCAATAAAATAAACAAACATAAAATAAACATGTAGGACTTATCAAATAAGAAGACTCCCAAAATCAAGTCTCAATAAGTACATTGGTATATTACCATGATAGTCGTTGTATTCTCCCCTCTTCAGAAAAATGTTGTACTCGATATTCAAAATATCTAACTATCAAAAAAATATGGATAGAACTGTTCATATCAGCCTCTTTTTTCCAAGTGGCTTCTCTTTCTGATCTGTGCTTCCATTGAACTTTAATCATAGGGATTTTCTTGCTCCTTATTTGTCTCACATCTAAGGCCAAAATATGTTTTGGTTCATCTTTATAGGTCAAGTTAGCTTGTATCTTAACCTCATATCCAGAAACTCTATGGTTAATGTCAGAAATCCACTTTCTTAAGACTCATACATGAAACATATTATGCACGTCCAACATATGATTAGGTAATAATAATCAATAAGCAAAATTATCAACCCTACCAGTCACCTCAAAAGGCCCAATAAATATTGGACTCACTCCCACTCTACCAAATCTACTTAACCCTTTCATGGGACTGACATTCAAAACTACAGAATCTCACCTGATATTCAACTGTCTGATGCTTTGGGTCATAATTGTCCCTCTGCTTACCTTGTGTTGCTCTCAATCTAGCTTGGATTAGTTTGATCTTTTCAGTGGCATCTACAAACTCAGAACTTATCAATCTTCTTTCACCCACCTTTGTCCAAGATAAAGGTGTTCTGCACCTTCTACCATCTAATGCCTCATATGGTGTCATACAAATACTTGACTGGAAGCTATTATTATAGGCAACTTTAATCAAAAAATATGATCCTCCCAGCTCTCTCCAAAATCAAGTGCATTTAATCTCAACAAATCCTCTAACACCTGAATGATCTTCTCAGACTGATCATCTGTCTGTGGGTGAAAAGCTTACTTAATTTAAATTTAGTCCCAGACATTCTTAAATACCTCTCCAAAATCTAGAAGTGGATCTACCATTATGATAAAAAATAAATGACCTTCGATATCCCATGTAGTCTAACAATCTCACATATGTATAACTGTGTCAAATTTTGAACTGAATATGTTTGTCTCATATAAAGAAAATGTGCAGGCT